TTCCTCAGGTCCCCACCTGTTCAATTTCTATGTGCTGTCACATCATCCACATGTATGGGGTCAACTTCCACATGTATATAGATGACATCCAACTGTATCTCTCTGCCTCCACCATCGATTCCAGGACAACTGATGTCCTGACAGATTGTCAGACATCAAGTCCTGGATGAGAGCCAGCTTTCTCCAGCTGAATGTCAGTAAGATCAAGACCCTGCTGAATGGCTTGCTCCAGGACCTCCGCACCTCAGGCACTGGCAGCATCAGCATCCAAGGATGCACACTCCACCTCACCAAGTCAGTCAGGATCCTGTGTGCCTTCTTAAACCCTCAACCGTCTTTTGCCCCCCAGATACAAGCAATGATCTGCTCTGTCTTTCCCCCACCTCTGCAACATTGCTTGACTCCGGAACTACCTCAACCATCAGGCCACCAAAACCCTCATACATGCATTTGTTACCTCAAGGCTCGACTACAGAATCTTGTCACCCTCCTCCACAAGCTGCAGATCATTCAGACCTCTGTAGCTCGTGTCCTCTCCCGCGCCAGGCTCCCTGACCCCATCAACCCCACCCTTGGCCAGCTCCATTTGTTCCCCATCCCTCAGAGGATAGAATTCAAAATCCTCATTCTCAGTTTCAAGACCCTTCACGGCCTTGGCCTATCCTATATCTCTGACCTGTTGACTCCCAAGCTGTCTGCTCCCTCTACTGATCCAGTTGTTGCCTCTCTCTCCAGCCTCACAAGCTGCTCCATGTTTAAGGTTTTCTCTGTGGAATCTCATTGATTTCCCATCTCCAACCTACCCTCTTTGCCAAAGTCCTGCAACATAACAACAACAACAACAAAAAGATTCCATTTATAGAGCGCCTTTCAAGTCGGGAGGACGTCCCAAGGCACTGGACAGTTGGGTCAGGACCCGAGCAGGGGGGAAATGGTCAGGGTGAGGGGAGGGAAGGGAAGAAGTGAGGAGGGGGTAGAGAGTCGAGCTGAATGCACGGTCAAAGAGAAAGGTCTTGAGACCAGCCTTGAAGGAGGAAAGGGAGGAAGCGGCGATGGCACTGGAGGATGGAGTTCCAGAGCCTCGGGGCTGAGAGGCTGAAGGTCTGGCCACCGATGGTAGTGCGGTTGGGGCGGGGGATGTGGAGCAGACCGGAGCCAGAGCAACAGAGGGTACGGGCAGGTAAGTAGGGGGATAGTAGGTTGGAGAGGTAGGAGGGAGCAAGTCTATGAATGGCCTTGTAGGTGAGGATGAAGATCTTGAATTCGATCCTCTGGGGGATGGGGAGCCAGTGGAGGTGAGTGAGGGTAGGAGTGATGTGGTCCCGAAGCCTGGTGCGGGACAGTACACGAGCTGCAGAGTTCTGAATGACCTGCAGTGTGGAGGGAGGGCCGGGAAGGCCGGCGAGGAGAGAGTTCCCATAGTCCAGCCTTGAGGTGATAAAGGCGTGGACCGGAGTTTCAGCCGCGTGAGGGGTGAGGTAGTGCCGTAGTCTGGCGATGTTTTGGAGGTGATGGAATATGAGTTGTGGTGCGGATATGAAGAAGAAAGGACAGCTCAGGGTCGAACAGAACCCCGAGGTTCCTGACTGCTTTGAGAGGTGGAGAGTGCAGCCTTGGATGCTTATGCTGTCAGCGCCTGAGGTGCGGAGTCGCTGACGTGAGCCAATCAGGAGGGCCTCAGTTTTGCACACGTTGAACTGAAGAAAGTTATCTCTTGTCCAGGACTCGATGTCGGACAGGCAGCTGTCAGGACATCGGTGGTCATGGAGTTGAGGGTAGAGGAGGAAAGGTAGAGTTGGGTGTCATCCGCATACATGTGGAAGTTAACCCCATGTCTGCGGATGATGTCACCGAGGGGGAGCATATAGAGGGTGAAGAGGAGGGGACCGAGGACAGAGCCCTGAGGGACACCACACGAGACAGTGCGGGAGGTGGAGGAAAAGCCGTTTGTGGAAACAAAATGAAAACGGTGGGAGAGGTACGACCTAAACCACTCAAGGACAGGGCCTTGAAGGTTGAGGTGGGAGGACAAGCGGTGGAGGAGGATAGCGTGGTTGACCGTATCGAATGTTGCCGATAGGTCGAGGAGGACGAGGAGGCAGAGGGAGCCCTGGTCGTAGATGGTCAAGATGTCATTGGTGACCTTGACCAGGGCTATGGGCAGCACGGAAACCCGACTGAAGGGGTTCAAATAATGAATGGGTGGAGAGGAAAGAGCGCAGCTGGGAGGCGACAACTCTTTCAAGGACCTTGGACAGGAAGGGGAGGTTGGAGATGGGCCGGTAGCTTGATAGCTGTGACGCGTCAAGGGAGGGTTTTTTCAAAGTGGTAGTGATGACAGCAGTTTTTAGGGGAATGGGAACAGAGCCAGAGGAGAGGGACAGGTAGATGAGGTCTGTGATAAGTGGGGCAAGGAGGTAAGGAGATAAGGAGTGGCGTGGGGATGGGGTCAAGGGAGCAGGTGGTGGGTTTCAGGGACAGGATGAGTTTGGTGACAGAGGGTGGGGAAATGGATTCGAAGGTGTGTAGGGGAGGATGGGTAGGAGTCGGAATGTGGGAGGGAAGGGTTGGGGGGTGGGTGGAAGTTGGAGGGGGAGTGACCGCGTAGCGGATTGCCTTGATTTTGGATTCAAGGAAATCCAGCATCTCCTCGCAGTGAAGGTTGGAGGAGGTGACCTGTGCGGGGTGGCGGGGGCGACGGAGGAGTCAGGATGTGGTAGAAAACAGTAGCCTGGGGTTGTCCTTCGCCTCCAGGATTATCCTGGAGTAGAAGGATGACTTGGCCGAGGCTAGAGTGGAGCGGTAGATTTTGAGGAGGTCCAGACAGATTTGTCAGTGGACCGTTAGGCCAGATTTGACCCAGGTGTGTTCAGCGGCCCACACCTGGCTCTTCAGTGAGCGGAGGTGGGTGGTGAACCAGGGGGAGGTGCGAGAGTAGGAGACAGTATGGGAGGTGATGGGGGCAAGAGTGTCGAGTGTGGAGGAGAGGGTGTTGTGGAGGAGGGTGAGAGCAGAAGAGGGGTCAGTGAGGGTTGAAGGCCAGAGCGAGAGGTGTTAAGAGGACTCCAAGGCAGAGGTTAGGGATTGTGGGAGTAACTTCTTCCAGGGGCGGTAGAAGATGGTGGTGGGTCTGGTGGAGGTGGTGAAGGAAATGAAGTGGTGATTCATTGCTGCAGATCAACTTCAGTCACACCTCTCCCTCCATTTCCTCTTTGAGCCCCTGCAGTCTGGTTTTTGACCTGCCCAATCTTATCTTAGCAAATGGTTTCTCCTCCCGCCCCTGCTTGGTCACCTACTGGTACCCCAGGAGTCCATCCTTGGCCTTTTTCTTTTCCTTGTCCATATGCTCTCTCTGGGCGATGTCATCCACAGAATGGGGTAAACTTCTACATGTATGCCGATGAGACACAAGTCTACTTGCCTCCTCCAGTACCAACTCCAGGTCCCCCGATGTTTTATCAGCTTGTCTGACAGACATCAGTCCTGCGCGTCTGAACTCCTCAACCTCTCTGGGTTCTCCCTCAGACTCTCTGAACAGTGTGTAATCTGGGCGACTGGTTCAATCCCCAGCTGTCCTTCCTCCCCCACAGCTGGTCACTGATCAGGACGGCCTGATTTCACCTTCGCCACATTGCCTGCCTTCAACTGTACCCTATCACAAATGCAGCCAAACCCCTCGTGCATACGTTTTTCATCTCCCGCTTGGATTACTCAAATGCACTGCTCGCCGGTCTCCTCAGCTCCACTATTCAAATGATTCAGCTCATTCAGAACTCTTGCCACCCGCATCCTGACCCAGACCAAACTCTGCACCAATGTCTCACCAGTTCTGGCCAGGCTCCACTGACTCCCCATCACTGAACGGATCAATTTCAAGATCCTCACACTTGAGTTCAAATCACTTCACCCTCTGGCACATACCTGCCTCTCCGACCTCCTCAACTCATCAAACCACCACTCAGCACTTACGTTCGACTGGCACAGGCTTCCTGCTCGTCCCTCGCATCCTGCGCTCCACCATCGGAGGTCGCGCTTTCAACCACTATGCCTGGAAACTGTGGGTCGCTCACCCTCAGTCTCTCCGCCTTGCCCCCTCTCTACCCTTTTTCTAGTCCCCACTGAAAACCTTCCATTTTGACTGTGCTTACAGATCTTCCCCCACCTCAACCCGACACCAACACCTAACCCCACCCTCCGACCCCCCTCCCCCCCCTCCCCCGGCTTGGAGTGAGTCAGGCTCTGACACTCCTCCATACCATGACCCCTTTGCCTTTGCCCTTCTCCCCATCATTAGCCAACTCTGCCACTGTCTTTCACCGCAGGCCACTGAAACCCTCATCCAGGCTCAACTGTGCAAACTCCCTGCTTTTTGGCCTCCCCTACTCCACTCTCCACAGGTTGCAGATCATTCAGAACTCTGCAGCGCACGTTCTCTCCCGCATCAGGCTCCGCGAGCCGATCACCCCCATCCTCGCCCGGCTCCACTGGCTTCCCATCCTCAGAGGATACAAGTTCAGCATCCTGGTCCTCAACATCAAACCCTCCCTGGCCTCGCTCCTCTCTACCTCTGTGACCTCCTAACCTCCACAAATCTGTCTGCTCCCTCCGCTCAGCAGGCTCTGGCCTGCTCTATGTCCACCTTGTCCGTCCCACCATTGACGCATGGGCTTCAGCCTCTCTGCTTGCACACTCTTGAACTCCATCCCTCAGTCCCTCCACCTCACCCCCTCCCTTGCCACCTTCAAAACACTCCTCTTCCACCTTTCCTTCAATTAACCTTTGATGCCTTCCCTCTCTGCCCTCCACCTCTCCTTATCCCAACCACCAGCTCGGGTGGGCAGCCCTAACATTACAGCTCCTTGAAACTTGCTGACGTGAAAGGTGCTGCGTAAATGTAGTTCGTTGTTCTTTGGTGTATCAAAGGGTGAGGGTTAGGGTATGTGTATCAGAGGGTGAGGAGTGTGTGTAGATTGTGTTTCATCATTGGACATAAAATGACACAACATGATTTATTGTAAATTGATCCAATATTTTGCAAGTGAAAGACAATAGTTTGGATATTAATATTCAGTTGAACAGATACAGACGGGACCTCGGTTTAGTGAGGATTAAAGATCTCGCTTCTTGGGTGATTGTTATAGTGAATAAGAAACGTTACAGATTATAAAAGCTGTCACTGAAAATACACGGTGTTTATACACAGTGAGACACGGCTGCTCACTGGGGAACAACATGTCACCTTGTTTATAGATACCAAAGTGATTTGGGAGATTTTAATGAGATGCCGTCAGAGCCTCATCGACCCCATACCACACCCCAGACCCCACTCTCTGGTGACAATGTGACAATGGGAGATGTGAGGGTGTGTGTGAGAGGGATGTGAGAGTTTGTGTGGGGAAATGTGTGGATTGTGTGTGGGGGGATGTGAGGGTGTGTGTTGGGAGGATACGAGTGTGTGGGTGGATGAGAGGCTCTTTCGACCACATTAACCTGTCACTGGGCAGATTGTCAGAGGCTCAGAATTATACCAGGGATTGAACAGAGGATAAAGTTTCTCAGTGAAAGTTTGTGTGAAAGTGTGGAGATGAGACATGTTGTCAACGTTATAAAATGATATCTGTCCCTCTTCATAGTCCAGATAAACTCCGACCTTCCCGAGTCTCACTGTCAGGGGCAGGCGGGTGGGAGGTGAAGACAGAGCATCATAGCTCTTGCCCCTCAGCCTCACCCCCCAGACCCCACCCTCTGCTGACCAAGTGATTCGTTGATTCTTGTTGACAGACTCTGTGGCCAATCCCATAATCCACCATGACTTGTTGCCCACCTGCACCTCCCAGTAATGTTTCCCTGATGTGAAGCCCTCAGATCCCAGGACGATGGGATACAAACTAAACCTCTTCGGGGAGTCAGGGAGCGACTGCTGATTGTCTCCGAGTCTCACACTGGTCCGGTCCTCAGACAGGATGAGCAGGGGATGGGCTGTGTCAGGATCCAGAGTGACTGTAACTGGAGGGAGAATCAGACCATTAATGTCAGACACATTTACAATTATAAATAAGATGATCTTCAGCGTCGTCACCGGGAGAGAAGCCTTTGTGTAAAACATTGACATCTCCTGGGAACAGAATCCAGCAGAAAGGCTGACAGTCTGTGTGTGTGAGGGGGGATGTAAGAATGTGTGTGTGGGCGGGGATGTGGGGGTGTGTGGGGCGCGGATGTGGGGGTGTGTGGGGCGCGGATGTGGGGGTGTGTGGGGAATTTGAGTGTGAGTGGGCATGTGAGGGTATGTGGGGAGGATGTCTGTGTAGGGGGATTTGAGGGTGTGTGTGGGGGTTGTGAGATTGTGTGTGGGGGGTGGAATCCGATGGTGAGTGTGTGTGCGGGCTGTCAGGGTGCATGTGTGGGAGATGTGAGGGTGTCTTTGTCGGGGGGAATATGTGTGTGAGAGGGGGGATGTGAAGATGTGTGTGTGGGTGGGGATGTGAGCGTGTGTGGAGGGTTGAGGATATGTGTGGGGTGGTGGTTTGTATGAGGGGGGTGAGGGGAGTTAGGGGTGGTGAGCGTCCATCTGGGGGTGGTGATTACAGGGCGGTGAGGGTGTGTGAGGATGTGGGACTATGTGAGGTTGTGGGTGGGGGCATAAGATGGTGTATGGGGTGGGCACGGTCAGGGTGTGTGGGGAGGTGGTGAGGGTGTTTGCGGTGGGGTGAGATTGTGTGTTGGTGGGAGATGTGAGGTTTGTATGTGAGTATGTGAGGGTGTGTGTGGGGGGGGGATGTGAGTGTGTGTGGGGGATGTGAGGGTGTATCTGTAGGGGAGGTGAGGATGTGTGGGGGCAATGTGAGGATATGGTGCTGGTATGTGAGGGTGTGTGTGGGGATGTGAGGGTATGTGGGGGGTGTAATGTGGGGTTTAATGTGGGCGTACGTATGGGGGCAATGTGGGCATGTGAGGGGGGATGTGAGTGTGTGTGGGGGTGGAAATGGCCATGTGTTTGAGGTGGGATGTGAGCTTGTGTGCGTGGGGATGTGAAGTTTTGTGTGGGGGGATGTAAGGCTGTGTTTGGGGGTGTGATGTGAGGGTGTGTGTGGGGCCGATGTGATGGTGTGTGGAGGTTTGTGAGGGTGTGTGTGGATGTGAGGTTGTGTATGGGGGCAATGTAAGAGTGTGTGTGCGTGGGTGGAAATGATGGTGTGTGTGGGCGGAGATGTGAGTGTGTGTGGAGGGGTTGTGTGTGGGGGAGGGGATGTGATGTTGTGTGGGTGATGTGAAGTTGTGTGGGTGATGTGAGGGTGTGTGTGGGGGGGATGTGAGGTTTTGTTGGCAGAGATGCAAGGATGTGTGTGGGGGCATGTGATGGTGTATGTGTTGGAGGTGTTGAGGGTGTTGCGGAGGTTTGAGTGTGTGTCTGTTGGGGCGATGTGAGCTTGTGTTTGGGGCATATGAGGGTGTGTGTGATGGGGGAGGATGTGATGGTGTGTGGGAGCTTGATGGTGTTTTGGGGATTGGTGGGATGTGAGCGGAAGATGTGGGTGTGGTGAGGGTATTTGTGGGGGTGTGTATGGGTGTGTATGAAGGTGTGTGGAGTGTTTGATGTTGTATGTGTGGGGATGTGAGGTTGTGAATGGGAAGGGGGATGTGAGTGTGTGAGAGGTTGTGTTTGTGAGGGTGTGTGGGAGGATACAAGGATGTGTGTGAGGGTACTTGGAGGTATGAGTTTGAGTCCATATGAGAGTGTGTGGGGTGTATGTAATGTTATATGTGTGGCGGATGTGAGGCTCTGAGTGGGATTGGGGATGTGAGGATATGTCGGGGAGGTGTGAGGATGTGTGAGGTGAGGATATGAAGGTGTGTGTGGGGGGAATGTGAGGGTGTGAGTGAGGCGGGTGATGAGCATGTGTGTATGTGGGTGAATGTGAGCGTGTGTGAGGGTTTGCGAGGGTGTGTGTAATGGTGTGTGGGGTGGGGGGGGTTGTGATTTGAGGGAGACTGTATGGGTGGGATGTGTGTAAGTGTGACGCGGAGTGTGAGCGTGTGAGTTTGGGGTGATATGTGGGTGGTTGAGGGTGCGCCCGGGGATGTGAGGGTGTGTGTGAGGTAAATATGAATATATGTGTTGGGGGGGGGGGGTGTGAGTGGGGGAAATGTGTTAAGGTGTGTGTGGGGGGAATGTGGGTGTGTGTGGGGGATGTGTGCGTGTGGGGGGGGTGTGCATGTGGAGGTGATGTGTGCGTAGAGCGGTGATGTGTGTGAGGGGGGGTTGATGTGTACGAGGGGATTTGATGTGTGCGAGGGGGATTGATCTGCGTGTGGGGGGGTTGATGTGTACGTGGGGGGGAATGTGTGCGCGGGGGGAATATATATGTGAGGGACGTGGGTATGAAAGTCTATTTTTTTGGGGGGGGGCAGGGTGATGTGACTGTGTATGGGGTGGTGGGGAGTCAGTGTGTTGGAGGTTGGTGGTTCGGTCACTCAGACTCTTACCTGCACACCTGCGAATCCTTTTCAACACTGGAACCAAGAAGAAAGAAGTGATCAGATCTTTGGCAGCTCCTAACCAAGTCACACTGCCTCCCTCCCTCTCCCTCACTCTCTCTAACTCACTCCCTCCGTCTCTCACTCCCTCTCTCACTCCCTCCGTCTCTCCTTTCCTCTGTCCCTCTCTCCTTCTCGCTCCCTCCATCTCACTCCCTCTCTCTCCCCCATCATCTCTCTCTCTCCCTCCGTCTCACTCCCTCCCTCCATCCCTCCTCCTCTCACACCCTCCTCCTCTTACTCCCTCCTGCTATCATGCCCTCCCTCTCTCACGCCCTCCCTCTCACGCTCTTCCTCTCTCATGCCCTCCCTCTTTCTCTCCCTCTTTCTCTCCCTCCCTCCCTCATTGAAGCTCACTCATTTTTTTCCCCCTTTAGTGTGTGTATGTTCACAAGCCAATGTTGTCTTCGGGAAGAGAAGGGAAAGTTGAAGATGTGAAATAGACCAATGGTTGGAGTTAAACAGTCTGTAATAATTTATGGAATAGAATCATTGAAATTTACAGCCCAGAAGGAGGCCATTCACCACCAAGTCTATATGGGCTCTCAGATCAAAGTGTTCATACAACAGCTGCCCTGCCCTACAACTAAACCCCTTCAAGCCTCTATCCCTCATATACGTACCTATCTACTTCTCTGTCTACTTCCCCTCTGTTCCACCATTGGAAATCATGCATACAGCCACTTCGCCCTTAAATTCTGGAACACTCTCACTCAATCCCGTTCCCGTTGTTGTTGTTGTTGCCCTCTCTCTCCCCTTTTTCAAGTCCCAACTGAAACACTTCCTTTTCGATCGTGTTTACGGTCACCTCCCACCCAGCCCCCCCCCCACCCCCCCGAAAAAAAGGCTCTTTATAATACACAATATAATAATAATCCTTGCATTTGATATCTGCCACTATTAAGCACTCTGAGACGTTATCCTGAAAGCTGGGTGCTATATAAGTGCAAGTTGTTGTCCTATAATAATAATAATCCTTGTATGTTAGATTTTCACAGAGTTTTCTGGAGAGTGTAGTGAGTGGGTATTTTGTTGGCAAACAAATGTACTTTTACTGCACCTCAATGTCCTTATGTCTGTTTTGTGTGAAGCATGTGAATGAAACTGATCACATTTAAAATTGTTATTTTATTTTGATAACTTACCCACTCTCTTCTCAAGATCTAGAGGATACAAAACAGAACTGTTAGAAACCGATTTCTGAATCCAGAATAGTTTAATGGTCAGTCTACATGTTTACAACATTAACAGATATAAACTACACAAAGTGCAGCTCAGCACAATTATATGAGGTTTGAATTACAATAAAATTTACAGTTACACAGCACCTTCCACAGCGGGGGACATCCCAAAGCACTGACAATGCTGGGGTCTGAGCTGGAGGTGGGAGCCGGGGTGGAGGGTCAGCAGAGGGAGATGGGAATATTAACTGAAAAAGCAGAGTAAGTAGGTCATGAGATGGGCCTTGAACGAGGTGAGGGAGGGGCCGAGACAGAAGGATTCTTGGATTGAGTTGCAGAGAGTGGCGGCAGAGAGGCTGAAAGCCTGACCTGCTGATGGTGGGGAGGATCGGGTGGTGACATGAAACAGACCGGAGGTCACTGAGTGAAGGGAGAGACCAATTGTTTTATAGAACTTACACATTCATACAGTAAGTGTTGTGATGAGAGATGTTACTGATGGGAACGTACCTTTGATCTCTCGATGCTGTTTTACACTGTAGCCGACCAGAACACTCAGCATCATTATGGCAAGTCCTAAGAGCAGTGAGGAAACCACCAAACCCACTGGCACTTTGGGAAAGAACTCGTCTGTCAAGAAATGTAAATAGACATTTAAGTATCTATTCTGATGTCAAAACAATAAATATCTTTATTTACCCTCAAGTGACTGTATTACACACAATAGCTCAGTAGCTGTCACGGGCTTCACTCAAAGTGAAGTCCTGGTAGTGTATTGGATAGAACGCTCGCCTCGCATGTGAGAAGACACGGGTTAGATTCCCAGGCAGAGAGAAACATTAGACAAGTTTCCTTACTCCACATGCCTCTGTTTACTTAGCAGTTAAGTAGGAACCCGCTTGTTCATTGTTTGGAAGATCGCTTTCCAGGGCTAATAATCCCATCAAAAAATACAATATAATAATAATTGGGTCACTCAATCCGTGACTGTTTGTGGGACACTGCTGTGTGCAATTGGCTGCCGTGTATCACCCACAAAATATACAGTCAATTCACTTAAGAGTATAGTCTGTGAAGCTCTTTATGATGTTTCATTCAAACACGTGATAATGCACTGTATCAAATCCTACAATTATTATTATGTACTTTTCCTGGGCAGAGAATTGGGGTCTTGGAGCTGAAGTGGCACTAAAGGGATGTGGTTGTTAAGGGAATGTCAGAATAAAATCCATTCTTTGTGGCCGTCCCGTTAGTCCAGTCCCTGAGAGCCAGACTCCAAGGGTGAATGTATGGATAAGGAAAAGAAAAGGAACAAAGATGGAGCTTTGAGGAACCCCCTCTGTGAATATACTGGGCAGATGTGAAGCCATTGGTAAGATAAAGTGGAGATGCTGGGAGAGACAGGCATGAAACTAGCAAAGTACAGAGGATGTGAGGTGAATCAGGGAGGAGAAGTGGACAAGTGTGAAAGGTGATAGAGCGATAGAGAAGGACAAAGAGACACAGGGAGCCCTAGTCATCAACAGAGAGAACATCTGGTGTGACTTTGTCCAGGGCTCTCTTGGTGCTGTGGGCAGGGAGGAAGCCAGTTTGGAGAGAATTTTACAGGAAATGATGGAAAAGGAAGGAATGGATCTTCCAGGCTACAACTCATCCCAGCACCTTGGAGAGGAAGGGCAGGTTGGAAATGGGGCAACGGCTAGAGAGACTGTAAGGAATTCAGTGAAAGTTTAAGTTGAAGAGCGTAAATGGCAGCATTTGTGAAAGAGAATTGCCATGCCAGAGGAAAGGAAACCATTCCTAATATCTATTTAATTTTAGTTTTCAAATGTGATTTATGGAGGAACTTCTATCCTTCAATGTCAAGTAAATAGAAATTGAGACCCCAAAGAGAACATTGGAACAAATGTAAAGCAGAATCCCAAACATTCTTCCATAAAAATAGCAAATAGAGGGTAATCGGGAACAAGATAAATCCATAGGGATACAAAGTGAATTGAAGAGAAGGCTGAACAGGAGATAGTGATGTATTAAATGACCACATTTGTTGGTAATCAAACAGACGGTCACTAACAATGTGCTGTCCAATATAACAGTGATGACCGAGCAATACCTGGCAACTCATGAACCTGAGTGAATGGAAATGCTGCCTCCATGTGGATGTCCTATAATTATGTCCTATTCCCCAGCTCAGGTCCATTTCCCTGACAGTCCAGCACCTTCGCACATCCTCCCAATTTGAAAGATGTTTTACAAATGTCTTTTGTTGTTGTGCTAGCTTCTCAGCTCTTAACCTGTAGTCTTCCCTTCACTGTGAGGTGGATCAGGCAACTTTTGCCTTTTCTGAAGCAATGGTGGCTGTGAGTTATGAAGTGTTGATTAATTCACAAGATAATCACAGTTTGAATAGGTTAGCAGGAAGGATGGGTGAGCTGGAGTACTGAAATCAGAATTGATTTCAGTTTGTAATGAGAATATTCAATGGCTTCAAAACCCTCCATGGCCCTGCTTCTCCTGATCTTTGTGATAAGCTAACTCTGTTTCTGCCCCAGTTCTGTAGAATTCCATCCACAGACCCTCCATTCGCTCAGTCACTTGTCAAGATCCACCTCTTTCACCGAGCTTTCATTCATTCATTCCTACTGCCGCCCACCCTGCCCTCCATCCCTCCTGACCCCAAACTTCAGATCGGGTCCAACATGGGGTTGGACCTTTGTATAGTGTGTCTCACATTGGGACGTCCTCCTGACATGAAAGGCACTTTACAAATGTAATTTGTTGTTCTCAAACCACATGCTGAGTTTGGTATTTTGAAAGGATGAACTCAAGTGGACCGTATCATCCAGACTGATCGAGTTTTCACTTCATGTGCTGTACAAATCTGCATCATATTTAACAAACAATCATTAATATTTCCTTCTTGTTCATTTACTGACCTGAGATTTGGAGTTTTGCTTCTTGTTCATTTTCTGAATTGTGAATCAGACACCTGATCTTGTTGGTTGAACGGATTATTTCTATTTCGCTTTTAACAATGAAGAGACCTTTAGAATCCTCTCTGACAGTCCAATTACTGAGTGTTGTTAAGTTGTTTCCCTGATCATCAAACCATAGAACCTTTGGTGCTGGGAACCATCCACTGGATTCACACAGCAGCCTCACACCATCACTGTGCTGCTCATCAACGTGAATCCAAAGCTGACTGCCAAGGCCTGGAAGAGACAGGAGTCGTGAATCAGACAATATTTATACCCGGGACATTAAAGAGCAGTAACTAAACTGAAAACACGTTTACAACTTTCTGAATAAATTGACACTAATGAATTGTTCTTGTCAATATAAATTATTGCATTTTGAAAATAACATTAACAAATAATGAATATTTGTATACAGAGATTACATTAAATAAAATGAATTGTAAATATTACTGACCTATAACATTCAACTCTATCAGTACATCTTGATTTGATCCGGCGTACTCCACAAAGCATGTGTACTCTCCATTATCTGACACCCGCACATTTCCCAGTCTGAGAGACACATTGCCATAGATAAACTCCTTTAAAAATAGTTGTGTTCTATGTCTGTAGGCTTCATCCTGTTTTCTCAGTTGATGTCGTCCCTCCTTGTATAAGTACACAGGGGAATCGTAACTTGTCCTGAACCATCTCACCTCCACACCTTCTCGTGGCAGGTCTGTGGAACACTTACAGTCCAGGACAACATCTGAACCAGCAATGGCTGGGACAGGGAGGGCCGGGCCACTGACTGTGAATCTCTCTGTTCAATAACAAACAATGGATAGTTAGGATTTTTAGTCACACTGACTCAGACAAACTCTGTCAATAGACAGTCACTGAGATAATAATCCTTGCAAAGGCAGGGCGAAACCTTGGGCAAGTTTCCTTACTCCACACGCCTAATAATAATCCCTCCAAAACCAAAAAAACCAATAATAAATAGGTCATTTTCAATCTACGACTGTTTGTGGGATATTGCTGTGCGCAATTGGCTGCCGCGTTCGCCCACAAATATACAGTCAATTCACTTTACAGTGTGTTCTATGAAGCGCTTTGGGTCGTCCTCCTGACGTGAAAAGCGCTATATCAAATGCAAGGATTATTATTATTATTATACATACTCCCTCTCGGTGACGTCATCCTCAGGCAAAGGATCAATTTTCATGTGTATGTAGATGAAATCCAACTCTATCTCACCACCTCCACCATTGACTTACAGGACCGTTGATGTCCTGGCTAATGATCTGTCTGACATCAAGTCCTGGACAAGAGCCAATTTCCTCCAGCTCAATGGAAGAGAGGCTCTCTTGCTTGGCTCCTGCAGCAGTTCCTCACTTCATCTGTTGAACATTATCACTATTCATGGCTGCACTCTTCATCTCACCGAATCAATACGGGAGCTCAGCCATCCTTCAAACCCCACATTCGTGCCGTGACCCTTTCTGCCATTCCCAACCTGTGCAACATTACCTGCCCCCAAAACTGCCTCTCATCACAGGCCTCCTGAGGCTCTGATCCATGCTTTTATCACATCTCGGCTTGACTATGCCAACTGCCTGCTCACCGGACTTCCCAGCTCTTCCCTCCACAAGCTACAGATTGTTCAGAACTCTGCAGCTTGTGTCCTCTCCCACACCAGCCTCTGGGAACTTATCATCCCAGTTCTTGCCCAGCTTCACTGGCACCCCATCCCTCAGAGAATCAAGTACAAAATCCTCGTTCTCATTTTTAAGTCCCTCCATAGACTTGCTCCCCCCTACCTTTCTGACCACCAAATCCCATATCAGCCTGTCGGCTCCCTCCGCTCAGTGAACACTGGCCTGCTTCAGGTCGCCCGCACTTCCAGCACCACCATTGCCAATCAGGCATTCAGCATCTCTGCCCCCACACTCTGGAATTTTGTCCAACAATCCCTCCACCTCATACCCTCTCTTGCCTCCTTCAAGTCCCTTCTAAAGATCTTGCTCCTCAATTGTATCTTTGGGCACCTTCCCACCCACATCCCCTGCCGTCCACCTCTCCTGACCCGACTCCCAGCTCGGGTCTAAAAACCCCTGACTGCCTAGCGCTCTGGGACATTTTGTTTTTGTTATTGTTGTTGCATTGTCAGAAGTGCTGTCCTTCTGATGAGCCATTAATTTGAGGTCCTGTCTGCCTGTTTATGTGTCAGTAAACATCCAGTGGCTTTACTCGAAAAGAGAAGGGAGTTTGCTACGTTCACCTGCACTTCACAGTGAGAAACGCTTTGAAATGTTTTGATGCTATATTCTCACAAGACTCTGTGAAGAAATGTTTGCTGATCTCACTTATAACCAGGTTAGCTACAATTTCAGATTTTATGTTCCTTTGTTTTACAAGAAGGAAGTGTTGTCCACTATTTAGCTTGACAATTCCCTTCATTATTTAAGCATCTCAATCAGATCCCCCTTCAACCTAATCAGCTCTGAGGAGTATAACCGATGTCTAACCAGCCTCTCAACACAGTTAAAACATTTCATCCCAGGTATTAATCTCATGAATCATTTTAAGAATAGTGGAACTTCCTTCTCACAGAATCATACAATAACACAGCACAGGAGGACATTCGGCCCAGCGAGTCCATGCCGGCTCTTTGAAAGAGCTAATATCTTAAAATCTCAGAGCTTTTAAAAAAAAGCATTTGGTCACTCAATTCAAAACTGTTTATGGGGCACTACTGTGCAAAATTGGCTGCCACAAATCTGCCCACAAAATTTTCCACAATTCTGTGAAATGCTTTGAGACGTCTCAGCAATGAGATGAGGCACTATATCAAATGCAAATGTGATTGTTACATAAATTCCTCACTTTTATATTCCTCTTTATAAAGACCATCATTAGTTTCACTAATTACTTTATCAACCCAAAAACAAGATTTCAGTGATTTATGTATTTGGAACCTAAATGCCTTTGCTCATCTCCTGGAACATTAGCAGCTCTCAGTGTGTGAATCACACTCACTCCCAACCACCACCTTCAGCAGCTCTCCCTTTACCTTCAGCAATTTAACACCAACAGAAATCAAACAGATTCAATGTGTTTCCTTACCAGTCAGTGAGAGGGGAAGCACAAGCCATAGGACCTGAACAAAGTGTTTCCAGCTCATCCTCTAGGACCTTCACAATGAGATCAGAACTGGTTACAACACAGCAAATCAGATCATTACACACAGAGATTTGTGATCAAATATAATTAATAAAATATAAAACATAATTAATAATTCTGTGATGTTACAACATGTTCTTTGAATTTACACACACAGCAGAACAAACTGCCTTCTCTGTTGGAATAGTGATTGGGAACTTTAACTGTGACAGTGAGGCCCCCCCTGGTCCCGCACTGGGGGTCTCCATGAGGTGGTTTGGGGAAGAAACATATTATGTGTAACTGCTGTAATGTGCTCCTTCCCTCCCCCTCCTCACAGCCGCTCTTATTCACCCCAACAAGATGCAGGTCAGAGAGGAGCTCCCATTCCCTCCCTCCTCACTTGCCTCCAATTCTCAGCGTTTAAACAACAACTGGGAATAAACTGACTGCAGAGCTCCCACTTTACTACTGACACAAACCTGACAATAGAGAACATTTATTTTGCACTAACTTTACCAGTTGCAGCTTCACTTCCAACCAAAGGATCCAATTTGGAATGTAGATTTTAGTGATATCACTCACAACCCATTTAACATGCGATAAACACTGTGTTTGCACCTTAATCAAAACCGCCATAGATGTGCGCTGAGTTTGTTTAGGTCATAGCTCATCAACAATAGGAGTTTCACCCAAAAAAAATACCCATGACATTTCCCATTGCCAGACCTTTCCGATGAGGTATAAATCATATCTTTATGTCAATGCGTTATTTGCGGACAGACCCACATTTTGTCTTTATTAATATAGATATATTCCTTCTTGAAAGGTGTGTGTTATCCTCTGTCACTTCTTTGTTGCAGAATACCATGCATACCTCATATTTTGGGGCTTAATTAAAGAATTTTTAACATAGTTCATCAATTGAAGATTTCCCCAAAATATGCCCATGACACTCCCCCTTACAAGTCCTTTCCGATGAGATATAAATCATGTCTCTACGTCAATCGGTTATTGCGTTCCTGGTGGACACACAGACAGACTGACTCTGTCTTTATTAGTAATTTTTTAAACACCAGATCAGCGCACTTAACAGTGAAACCAATGAATTGTATACTGGAATTACAGTAGAGTTAATTACGGACGGGGGTGGGCAATGTGGCGGAGGTGGAATAAAGGGGTCCTGGTTAGGGAATGGATGTGTGGTAGCAAGGAAATACAGATACGATGCCGGCTGGGGTCAGACACCACCTCACCTTTGTACTGGGTATAGGCGGTAATATAATAACCACCTTTTTATTTGATACAACAAGCAGCGGGAAAGCTCGGGAAAGCTTTGCCTGAAAGGATGGTTTAAGCTGATTCAATAACAATGTTTAAGAGAAAAGTAGATAATTATTTGGGGAGAATGAATTTGCAGGGCTCTGGGGAGAGAGCGGGGAATAGGATTGATTTGGAAGCTCTTTTCAAAGAGCCGACACAGACACAATGGACCAAATTGCCTCCTTCTGTGCTGTATAATTTATGATTCTATAGCTGTGCTGTTTTATCTGCTGAGACTCCAGCAGTTACCCCAATGCACAATCTGGGGACCCCCGGCCTTGGTTCTTGCCAACCTGAGCCTAGTGAGAGATCTTCCAGGATTCCTGCACTGATAAACTCCAGTGCCCAAAGCTGGGAAGGTGTGTGTGTGGATGTTGTGCTGTTTGTCACAGCCTTTGTGCTTCTTCTCTGCCCAGTTTCCCACCTTCAGCTGCTCCGAACAGTATGTGAAGTGTGTGGTGTTGCTGTCCAGTCAGATTGTGTGTGTGTGTGTGTGTGCGCGTTTGGCTTCACCGAAGAGCAGAAAAGCGCTCAAGTGAGGGGCACAGCGACATCTATAACCCCCCCTAACTGATAAGAGAATCTATACTAAGGATGAAATGTCTGTGTGAGTGTCTGTCTGTCTGTGTATCCGACAATCACACAATAACCAAATAATGTAGAGACATGATTTATACCTCATTGGAAAGGTCTTGCTGCTGGCAGTGCCATGGGCATATTTTTTTGGGGGGCCATCAATATAAAATAATCACCAATAAATCAAATAGGGAAGTCAGAAGAAACCTCTTTACCCAGAGAGCTGTGGGAATGTGGAACTTGCTACCACAAGGAGTAGTTGAGGCGAATAACATAGACGCATTTAAGGGGAATCTAAATAAGTGCATGAGAGAGAGAGCAATAGAAGGTTATGCTGATAGGCTTACCTGAGGAAGGGCAGGTCATGTGGACAATAAACATTGCAGACTAGTTGGGCCCGAATGGCCTGTTTCTGTGCTGTATGTTCGATGTAATTCCATGTAATTATCTGTAACAATAAATAACAAACAATAAATATCAAAGTTGATTTCTACACTACACCTGTATTCCTCACAACACCACATGCACGCAGACATTAACTCCAGATGGTTAGGTGTGCTTGAAGACCTAAAGATCTTTACTTTCGATCGTGCTTTCGGTC